AATTGACGGCGACGGTCACTGATGATTACTTGAGGTAGACCATGGCGAAGAACAACGGAGCGTAACAAAAAGGCAGCGACGCCATCAGCTGTAGAAGATGGTATCGCAGCTGTTTCGGCGTATCTGGTAAGGTGGTGGACGCACACTATTATGCAGCGGTTGTTGTTCGAAGATCGCGGAAACGGCCCCGATAGGTCGATGCCCACTTGCTCGAAAGGCGTAGTAGGTGATTCTACGGGGTGAAGAAGGCCGTGTGGTGCACTGGTAGGTCGTTTGCGACGCTGGCAGTTCTCGCAGCTCGAGACGTATTGTTTCGTAAAATCTCGCATTCGAGGCCAGTAAAAACACTGCTGCACTCGACGCAGGGTGCGACTGAACCCAAGGTGTCCTGACGTTAGATCATCGTGCATGGTACGGAGAACGTCGCATCGAAGACTTTGAGGTACAACCAGTAAATAACGCGCGCCGGTTGCTGAGTAATTCGCGCGAGAACAAGGTAAAGGTAGCGGCTTCTCCTCTTGGCAAAACTCAAACAGAAGCATGTCGCCTCAACAGATGGCGTAACGTATGCTGCTCGTGTGACCGTGAAGTGGCGCTAATCATGCCTAGGATCTGCGACTCGTAAAAGCAACTGCACTGGCCAGAGACTGTACCTTTCTCGCTTTCATCGTTGTTAACGACAGCTACAGAACCTTAAGTGGAATCATCGAAGACGCCAAGCTTCATTCCTCGAGGGAGCACAACCGGCATTGGCGAACAGTTCAGTGCCCACAGAAAGGTTGCTCCTTCATTGACAGATACCAAACAAGGAGGGACGAATATGCCTTGTTTAGCACATTGAACGATGGCAGGTTCAACGATGGCGTCTAAAGATGTGGCAGATTCTGGGGCGAACACCGCAACTGACCTCATTGACCATGGCGGCACGGTCAGCTCATTGGAAACAATCAGAGCATCCTTCGCGGCCTGCGGTGCCTCATCGATGAGGGCAGGAACAATGTCATCACTGACGGAAAGTTCACCGCTTCCACAGTCGACGAAAGCGCCACATCCTTGGAGAAAGTCAAGACCGAGAATCACGTCATGGGTACAACGTTGCAGCACGAGAAACTGTTGGGAACACCTTTTCTGCCAATAAGACATCGACGGCCCAAACTCCGACAGGATGAAGTACTTCCCAACCAACACCACGAAACCTTGTTGATTCGCCCCAAGAAAACATAACTTTGCGGCCAATGCGACTTTTGAAAGAAATACTCATAACTGATATCGTTGCACCAGTGTCCACCAAAGCACTTGTACAAAAGCCATCTATTTCCACACGTAACTTGTTCTCGGACATTATAACTGGCGGAGGCATCTGAGGCAAATCTTGTTGTGCGACCTTACCTCAATCGGTCGCACTGGCTAGTTTCCAGGCGGCGGCGGTGATGACAGGCGTCGTCCCGGCGAAGCGAACGAGGCAGTCGGGCAGATGGAGGAGTCAAACTATGGTCAGAAGCGGGAGAACTGCCACGGTGATTTCCCCGCCGTGACGTACTCCTGGAATAGGCAGGCCAATGACCATTGTTCTGACTAGTGCCCGCTGGCGGAAACTCTGATGGGGAATGATATCGGGATGTCGGCTCTATCTGTCGACGACAGAACTGAGCTATATGTCCGGCGATATCGCAACGGTAGCACACAGGAGCTTGGCGGTATGCATTGTACTCCTGGAAGGCATTGCGCTGACGTGGTGGTGGTACAGGTACATCTTCGTTCGGGTCGTAATAGGTGGTGGCTGGCTGATGGGGGTAACTGAAGCGATCTTCGTACCTCGGCAGCGGGTAGTTATTGCGCTGTGACTTCGTTGGTGAGGGTGGCTTGTAGTTGCAGCTATCGGTGCCTGCTGCGGCAATTGACACGGGAGGGCGAGAGGGAGGCGGTGCGAGTGTAGCTTCGTACGGCGTGGGGCGAGCGTGTCGAGTGAGCTCTTCTCGAATGATCTGGCACATTGTCGACGTGAGATCAAGCAGCGTGTATTCGTCAACACTTGCCGCGGTGGTTACATTCGGTAGGCGACCGAACTTGGGGGTGATACGTCGTATCTTCGTGGCCTCGAATGTGCGACAGTGGCTTATGACGTCGGTTACCGTAGGAAGGCTGTCTTTGCTGATGAGGAACTGATACACGTCCTCGGCAATGCCCTTCAACAGGCGGCCAACTTTGTCTTCCTCTGACATAGAAGGGTTGACAATCTTGCAGAGCTTCAAGATTGCCTCGACATAGGTCGTGCACGTCTGTCCTGGGATCTGAGCTCTCTGCAGTAACGTTTGTTCCGCCTGCTTTCTCTTAGCTACGGAGTCTCCGAAACACGCTCTTATTTCGGAAACGAAGCAATCCCATGACGTGAGGGCATCTTGATGGTTCTGGTACCCACGAGTGCTGTGTCCGTTAAGAAAAATACTACATTGGTCAGCTGGGTCACCGCGTCCCACTGGTAGTATTTGCTTACCCGTTTGTAGTGTGTGAGCCACACGTCCAAATCATCGCCAGATTTGCCACCGAATGTGCGAAGCACTATCAGATCCTGACGCAACCAGGGACCAACCGCACACGAACCTGGCGCTAGCGGTACTGTTGGGACTGGTAGAAGGTCTGCAGCTGCGGGGATCCGGTTTCCTTCTTCGCCGTGAGACATCTCAGCTGCCAGTGGAAATGGGGGCAGTCCAGCAAGGTGGTGGCTTTGTCGTAGATTAGGCGCTTGAAACGTCGTGTTTCTTGGTTGATTACCCCGCACCTCCACCACAAAGCTGTTACGGTTGAATGAAAGGATCTTAGAATGATCTGCAGAAAACGAAAGTAATGTACAACAACTCGGAAGAGAGCAGTGCTTCAAGATAGTTAATAGTGCACTTCAAGTTGTTTATTTATTTTATTTCATAATACCCCTAAAGGCCCCCGAAGGGGTATTACATAGGGGAACAACACATGAAACAATTTTTGTACGCTTATACAGTCTAAAAACAAGATTAAACAAAATAATGAAAGCGAGCTAAATACAAAAAGCAACAACAACAACCAAAATCAGATACTATGAAAAAAAGAAAAATTAAGTAGAGATGAAATATTGAATACTGGAAACATAAATTAAGGGCACTAACAAATACAGTATACAAGGAAAAAAAAACTAAAATGATGGCATGATCTTAAGATACAAAAGTTCG